CACTGTTGTTCTAATTTCAAATGGCCATCTCTCCTTCATTTCTTATCCAAATAGGCTGATTCTTAAGCCTAAATTCATGGAATTTGAGTCAGATTTCTAATGGTACCTATGCCATTCTCAGATTCCAATCACAGTGGGAGTTATTCATGTTTTAGTAAGGTAGGGTCAGTTTTCACTTAAACCGGGAAAAAGTATTTTGTGGGATTTTTGTCCAATGTTCTTAGAACCTCTTGAATGTTGTGAAATGATTAAATTAGGTTGTATTCACCTTGTTTGACTTATTTAGAGTCAAGTTTCTCATCTTAGTTATGAATTGACCATTTTGCCCTTCCTAACAAATTTTGCCCGTTTTGACCTTTGTTTTCTGCTTTTGCTTTCTTTGAATTCCGTGACTTCATGGAAGGTCACATTGGTGTCTTGGGGATGATTTTTATCTCTATAGATTTTGGTTTCATCTTTTGCTTCCGCATTTCGGATCCGTTATCGGATCACCTTTCAGTTCATTACTAACGCACCGGGTTGAAAAACACGGGTCGTTACAGCGCCATTGGGAATCGATGACAGAGATTCTCCCGGAGCTGAAGAGAACGACGACGGAGGCACGACGATATTGAAGCTAGGGAGACGAAGCAGGAGCGTCGGAGGTTGGGGGAGTAGGCTGAGAAGCAATCGGAGAGGAGGTCAGGGAAGTTACCACGGGAGACGGAGTCGGAGAAGGAGGTGCTACCGCTTGCGGCAGAGAAAACGACAGCGAGGACGATGACTCGGTCAAAGACGACGAGCCGAAACACCATACCCAACCATTCGGTCTTTAATTGGTTCAGAGGTCCCGTTATTGATTAGGTGATGGATGTTGGGCTTTGGGGTCTTGAATTGGTACCTAATTCGAAACCCATCTAATGAAATCAGGAGACACAACTGGGTGGTTGAGTTTGGTGAAAGGAGGAGCAAAATTTTCAATTATTTTAGAGGTTTGATTGGGGTTGGATTGAGATTGAGATTTACATCATCAAACCCATCTTTCCAATAACCCATACTGGTGGTAGTTCAATCAGATCATTTCAGAACCTTACAATCCACCAACACTTAAATACTATTGGATGTCTGGCTGATATTAAGTGATATATATATATATATATATATATATATATATATATATTGTTGTGTATATTATGTAGAGAAAGAAAAGTGAGTAGAGAGACAGAGACTGATAGTGGTTGTTGATGGTTGGTGGTCGGCCATGGGCAATGGGTCGGGGGGCAGAAGCGACGGCTGTGATAAAAACCCGTGACCGCACCTTGTTGGCTCCCTTTGCTGGAACCTTTTCTGCATAATGGACGTGTCGTCCTCTCCGTTGATTATTACTGTGTATATATACAGATTATATATATATAAAGGTTAAAAGATAATTTCAGTATTTAAATTGGTCAATATAAAAGTTAAAGGGCAAAAATGTCAATTCATTACTATTGGGGTGTCTTTGGTAGTTGTATCAAACTTGAGGGGGTGTCTTTGTCCAAAAATAGGCTAAGTTTCATTTGTTTGTCCTTTTGACAAACATTAGGGGATGTTGCTATACTTTACCCGTCAAATTTAAGAGAGAACTCTAGAAGAACCGGGCTGGTCATAAGCAACTCTAATTTATAATATAGGCTCATACTCATTTACGAAGTAAAGAAATCAGACTTTAAGTAACATTTTGGTACTATTAGTGTATTACAGTTTAATTTGACAAATCACTGACCTGACCAATAGCGCATAAGAAAAAATTCTAATAGAGTAATAAGGACCAAAAACCAAATAGATTTTAAATGGAAACTATATTTCCAATAGACTCTCTAAAATTAGGCTCTCCGAATTTGCCACATTAGCATTTTTCAATAGCCACATAAACATTTTTCACAGTCACGTCAGCATTTTAGAGTCTCTAAATTTTAGCTATCATATGTACTCCAATGGTACACTTTCGTTCTCCAAAAATATTAATATTTTAATATTTTTAAAATTTAAAATAAAATTTATTTTTTAACTTTTTCCTAACGGTTATATTTCTAACGGCTATAATGTCAATAAGAATATTAAAAAATTTAAAAACGAAAAAAAATCACTTTTTTCTAATTTTTTAAAACTTTTTTTTTTTTGCCTAAAAAAGCCTTCAAGGCACTGTTTGTGTCAGCCAAACAGTGGCTTAACGGCTTTTTGGTTCAATTATTTTAAGGGAAAAAAAAAAAGAAACCAAAGTAAGGCAAAAATCTGAATTTTAGCTTTTATTTTAGCCAAACATGCCCTTAGGAATAGTGTTTTGGGCTTAGAAATAGTGTTCTGGCTTGAATTTAAAAAATAAAAAGAAAACAAAAATGGCCCCACAAAAAGTGAGCCCAATCGCCAACCCACTCTTGCTTTCTAGTTACCTTCATCAAGAGTCGTTCTTTGGAGCTGACTTTTCCTATAATCCATTGAAGCATCCAATCTTCAAAAATTAGCCCAATTTCACCAAAAAGAGCACTGATGGAGTTGCTCTTGGAATCCAAAAAATTGGATACAAATTCTTTTCGTCAACCACAAAAAAAAAATTAAAATAAAATAAAATAAAATTTCAAAGATCAAGACAAAAAAATTGGAGACTTTTACATCTACCCTGATGGAAGAAAAAGAAATTAACACTATCAAAGATCAAGACAAAAAACAAAAAAATCAAAGAGAGTCCAAGTCAAACAACTTGACTCTGAAGGGATCTAATGTACCCAATAGCTTCTGATAGGATATAAGCTATGTCAGTATGAGAGTGAGAGGGAGGGGGAAGGGAGGGAGGGAAAAAAATCCTCCAAAGTAATTAGTCATGCATCATGTCTTCTTTAATGTTTAGAGATTATATAAAATTTGAAGAAGAAAGAGAACTTTCATAATTGTAAAGAGATTCTTTATCCTCATTATTTCACAAGTGTACCCTCAATCTAAGGTATGAGGCTTTGTAATTGCATAGTTACCTTTCCAAAAGGAGAAACTAGCTGGTCAAGGACTATTTTTTATCACCTAATTTATCCTTCCTCACCTAGTTAGACATTATAAACAAAAAAACAAGAATTATTAGATATATAGATGTGGGCTTGATCACAATAATTGGTACACTTTCTATCTGATTGAGACATCTAAGTTTTCTCCTTCCTTGTATGAAACTATGGATGACATAGAAGAATCATATACTTGAAGAAATGGACAATTGTACATGTTCAATCATATACATGTCTATATTTATCTTTTGTTTTCAGACGTGGGATGGGAGATACCAAAGCATGTTCCTGTATTAGGTCGTGGCCATTTGTTAAATTTTGCTTACTATACTCTTGTATATTACATGTCTGTAAAGGTGCAATTATTTGCTTGTCTAGTGATTTAATAGGCTGAGATCTGAACCTGATATGCACATAGTAAATTGAAATGCCACGTGATTCGGTTAAAGATATATTACAAAGAAATCGGTCTGAGTTAGAGTTAATTCACCAAGTGTCAAATCAAATGATATAGAATTATTTGAAATTACAGATTAATCCTTGCTCTAATCAATAAATTTGAGTGATGATGGGGATAGTTATTAATGGTATGTGCCAGCTTTATTATAACACGTGGTAACAAGTAAGAGGAGATGCCATGTTGTAAAACCTAAGAGCATCTTCAGCGGTTTGTTAAAATATTATTTTGTGTAAAATATAAACTGTCACTTATGATGTGTAATTTTTTTCCATCTCCAGCAGTCTTTTAACATACAATGCCACATCACTAATGTGTAAAAGTGTTATGTATCCCTTTTTACATTGTCAGGTCAACATATTTCCTTTCTTATCCCTATTTCTCATTTCATTAAAGAATCAACTATATATTAAGTAGATTTGTAAAAATTATGTAGGGTCCTGGCATGACACATGGCTAGTTATTATTGGAAGATATATTTTTACACAAAAGGTATAAAACAACCGTTGGAGCTCAAATTAAATAATTCAAACTTTTTGTGTAAATCCATCATGACACATCAGATTTACACAAAAAAAAAATATACGCAATTGTTGAAGATGCTCTAAGGACTATTAGTTATGTACACATGTCAGCCAAAAGAGGGAAAAGGAAAAGAATACACCGACTGTTTTGATTCAAAATTCAAAAAAGCAGTTATATGTAATTGCTAAGGGCATGAAATTAGAATTGATAAAATAAAATAAAATAAAATTGGCTCAATAATCTGAGTCACGCAGAAGTCGTCCACGACCAAAAACATATTACTTTCTCATTGTAGCTTAGGCCAGTAATGTATTTTCCCTAAATAAATCATTGCCCTATGTGAAATTTACACAATAATCTGTCAAAATTTGCAAAAAATTACGTCCAAAACTATATTACTTTCTTAATGTAGCTTAGGCCAGTAATGTATTTTCCCTAAATAAATCATTGCCCTATGTGAAATTGACACAATAATCTGTCAAAATTTGTAAAAAATTACGTGTGGTCTACACCTTTGATTTATTACATATTCTTGCAAATGAATACTCCTTAAAATAAAAATAAAAATAATAAATAAATAACTACATTATGATTCAATTGACGCATTATATAAGACTATTCACATCCTCACCGTAAAAGCTTAAGCCGTAACTGCACGATTATTTTTAAATCAAATGAATCGAGAATGTAACTTTTATTTTAAAAGTAGAGTGATGATAAAATATGTTAGACTAATGTGAGTTAAAAAATTCAGTTCAGTTGACTTGTAACAAATAAACTGTTATTTGTGATTCATTATTTTAATATAAATATTTTTTTAGTAAACCAAGTATGCAATATAAACTGTTGAAAATTGATCCATAACTTTGAGTCTATCATTTTCAGATTGATTAAAATTAGGCTTATATTTTATACCGATAATAGTACTATTGTTATAAACAAGCCAAGTGATAGCGAGTTTTCTAGTCCATCAGTGTACGAGTGCGCCAAACATTAACTAATTGGTTTAAAGGGTAACTAACACGAAAAATGACCATAGGGGATGATGAAAAAAAAAAAAAAAAAAATTCAGTTAGGACACGTCTGGGTTGGGCGTCAAATTTTAGAGGCGTCAAATTTAGAGGCCTATAGGGCCAAAAAAAAAAAAAAAAAAGTTAGGGCAAGTTTCAGACGACACAATCTGCTTCGACACTCCGCAGGGCTATCGCCTCAGGTGACAAGGTATGTTCATCCTCTCTCTCTGTCTTCTCTCTCCTTTTGCACGAATCGATCTTTTTTATATGTTTCTTTCTTTCGTTCATCTCATCATTTGATTTGTTCTAACTTTGGTTTGTTTGATTCAGGCCTTTACCTTTGTTCCAATAGTAAAAAGTAGCTTCCAAACTAGGGTTTTTTTTTGTGTGTGTGTGTGTGTGTCACTGTGTGATGGCTATCAAAAGCTGAATGAATATATTATGGTTCTCTTAGTATTTTAATAGATGTGTGCCTTTCTACATGTGTCTTTCATGGCGATCGAGTCCATAATCTATGGCAGGTACTTTTTTTTTTAATTTTTTTTTTTCCTCTCCCTAATTCCACTCCAATCTCACAACAGCAGCAATCATACCCCTTTTCCTCGTAAGTTTTTGCATTTTCACATTCAATCCTACGAAAATTAAGGATCCCTTCTAGTGGGTTGAGCCGTTGAGGTAATAATTAACTTTTTCGATGTCTAAATTATGCTCATACTTAAAAGTGCCAAATTAAGGGTTTTTTAATATTTTATTTTTATATGAAGATACATGCCACCATTATTGATGTTATTTGAAGTTGGCTCAGCTAGAATTTCAGTTAATAATACTGTCAAAGCACTTGCCATCAGAATGTACAAACACATGGAAATCAAGAGCAGGCTTTAATAAAACAAAAGTTAATGGTTTTTTCTATGAATTTGCACAGGTCTTCTGTAGCAATGATCAATCAATCACTGCTACTAAAGTTGATTCCTCATCCTGAGATCAAGAAAGGGGTAATTGGCTCCCAAAAAACACACACACAAAGTGTAGTTAATATAAAGAGTGAAAGACAAAACTATATATGATAGTGGATGCCTCCTATAACCTAAAAGTCCCACTACTTCTCCAGCACTACAAGTTCAGCCTCCTATATATATAGTCACCTCATCTCAACATATTTTTGTCATCTGTAGTCATCAAATTTTAGCAGCTATATAAACAACGAATGTAAAAAAGAAGCCGCAGTTTTCTGTTCCCCATTCCCACTTTTGGATTGTATTTTGGATACTCTGTTTTGTCTTCTCTCCTCTCCTCCAGATTCCAGTGAAAACTCCAGCCAGGAGATCATTCGACCAAACTGCTTGATTTTTGATTTTATTTATTTATTTATTATATTTATTGTATGATCGGCAATGCTTAGTTATTATTGTTTCTGTTTGATTCTCCATCCGTTTTATGTTAATTGTGATCTTCTTTCACATGCTAGCAGGACACACTTCTTAGGATCTCGTGAGGTTATTTGCCTTGAACTTGAATCAAATCATTGCATATTGAGGTAATGTATATTTTCTTTAAACAAAGCAAATTATCATTATTATTTTTTTGAAGTCTAGTTTTATGTTGACTATGGTTCATGTGATTTAGATTTCAAGAGATTTCATTATGTCTGGAAGAAAATTTGAATTTGGGCATGAAAAAAGGAAAAAAAAGAAGTGAGAAGAAGAATTGATTCAATCTCAAAAAGGAGATAATCTTAAGTTTTTTAGGAGCAATACACAAATAGAGAGTTTAGTTGAAGATTCGGTGAATGAAGAACATATGAATGCGAATGCAAATGAAGAAAATCTCAATAAACATGAAGATTTAATGAATGAAGATCATAGGAAGTTAGTCAATGAACATGAAGATTTAATGAATGAAGATTATAGTTATTAGTTAGTTATCTTGTGCACAATGCACATGCGCACAATTAAATTAGCTGTAAAATTTGAAAACATCGTGTGAAAATTCCACTCTTATAATTTTTTTTGCGCATGTGAAAGTTCGCCTAGGACCTCTCAAAATATTTGGAATCTCAGGGCCGGCCCTGTGTAGAACAAACAATGAGAAAAAGTAATAGCCCATTGGAGTCACGCTGACAGGTAGGTTAGGCATCACACCTAGAGAAGGTCTCCCACCCTCATATTTTGTGAATCACTCCCAATGAAATTTCATACACTATTATTTATTCATTCATTCATTGATCAACCCCATCCCTTCCTTTTATAGGATTCTATTCATGCCTCTTAGACTTAGGTGGATCTTAACTCATGACTTTTGAACTTTCTTCATAATTGAGGTCATCAATAAGTCTCACAACCCTTCAAATTCATAATTCATATCTTAATGGCATAAATAAAACCCAGCTTTCATTGCATCATGATGCCCACCTTCATATACACCAAGTTCATACACACCGTTAATTTTAAAATAATAAGATAAGTTTGTGCATTGCATTGCGTACCTCTTTCCCAAGAACCTGGACTTGACTGTGACCACAAACAAATCCAAATGTTTTCACTCAAATTATATTTAAGTTGAAATATTATCTGGCAATTTGTGTATAGTATGATGTTAACTTTATTGTCCATAAATGTTGATACTTGAAACCTCACAGAACTACTTCATTGTCTCTGGTGACCCACTTTCTGTTTATAAAAGATTACTGCCTATAAGATAAACTCAACCCTTTTAAATATTACACAAGAAAATGGGAAAAGGAAATCTTGAATTTAGCTTTTGGGTTAGACCATTTATTTTAAAATTTCTCGTAATCTAGTTAACGAATGGGTTTAATTCAATTGTTGTCTTGCTTATAATATCTTTTAACTTAGTCAGTCCATGCTAGAGAAAGGTGGGCTTGGGCGAGCAAATAGTTTATTGAAGTTAGAGTTGAATTTTGAATGATATGCTGTAGGGGTTCTGGATATATGATGGAGGCTCAGTCTTGTGAGAATGCTACTCCTGGCACCCGGGTTAAAGCTATATTTTTCCTTGCATTAGAAGCATAACCTGTTCATGCAAACAAAGGAATTCTTTCTGAGCAATTGGTTTCACTGAAGGAATTCATTCCCAACAAGATGGCTCGGTAACAGACCGCTTCTTCCAAAGCACGCCCCATACGTTCCACTCGCAACAATCCAATTAGTTCTCCGGGTGAAAAAACATTAGACATTCCATCTTTTGAAACCAAGACTTTTGATGAAACCAAGACTTTTGATATTATTTGACATACAATAATTTCTATATGCCTATTATGGATTTGCACCCCCGGGATCGATAAACCCTTTGGATCTTATTAACCAAAGAGATACGACTTTGCGCTATAGTTAGCTCAGCATCAATCAAGAATCCCCAAGGAATTCCAAGAATTCTTGTTATACATTCGTTCCAACCCTCAATCCTCTTTTCTAGATTCATTGATATTAAATCAATCGAACACACTTCTCAACACCTGTTCTACTTCTGGAAGACCCTGCGTTATATCATCAGATCTCGATTTTTAATATATAAATGTAACTAGTGTATCTCCTTCGTGTAAAGGGTTTCACCATAACGGCCATGAACAGTTGCTCCTGGGGTAGCCAAATAAGGCTTAGCTGATCGTATTACTAAAGAGTCAATTTGAACCATTAGAACTTGACTCGATTTTATTCCTCTTTTTCTTTGAACAACATGAATCAATAAAGGTAAAACACTGTGTGGATACATACATGCATTCCATGTGGCTGATTGCCAAAACCCCTCCTCTAAAAGCAAGTTCTTCTACCTGCTTATATAACATGATATAAGTTGAAGATTGAAAGTTTTAGTAATGACGAAAGAATTCAATGTGCTGAAAATGTTTGTCTGCATATGTTGCAAAACCCAGGGAAATCTCTCTGTATTTGCGTGGAATACAATTAATTGTATATATATTTTGTATAATCTAATAACTTCCTCAAAAGAATAGACACGACGTACACAGAGTACTACAAATTAAAGGCAAAAGATAAATATGGATACTAATGTTAGTATCTCATTTTACCATGGATGCATGTGATGGCTTCCAATAGTTGTTCCTTTTTCAGAGGTTTGGCCAAGTGAAAATCCATTCCAGCTCTCATCATCCGTTCTGCTTCCTCATCTATTGTATGAGCAGTCAATGCAATGATGGGTACGTGAACACCGTAATGTGTTTCCTCCTCCCGTATACGGCTTGTTGCCTCAAACCCATCCATCACCAAGAAATTATACTATGTATCTGTATAAGTAGAACTAGCCATACGATATATGTAAAGAGAATAACTAAGCATATGATATATGTAAAGAGATGCATGGAAAGGAAAAAATTAAAAAAACAATCTTTTACCTCACAGTCCATTAATATATAGTCATAAGGAAGAACTCCAAAAGCTCTGCTTGTTCTTTGATCACTTAGACCTTTGCAAAGTAATTCGAAAGCAGCTTTTCCATTTTTACAGTGTTCAACAGCTGCACCGAGTTTAGAAAGATTAGACATAACCACTTGGCTCATCACAGTATTATCCTCAGCAACCAACACTTTCTTCCCACTCAAGGGTTTCTGATCACTGATGGTGCCACCGTGCTCTTGTATTTCTCCCCGTTGCATTGGGAGGTTGTGAACTGCAAATAAAACATTTTTCCCACTTAAACGTTTCTCACTACTTGGGTTGACATGTTCTTGTATCTCTCTCTTTTGGACTGGTGGGAGGTTTTGAGTTGGAGAATTCCTCGACCTCATACGCGGGTGACTTTCTGATCAACCGGACTCGAAAGAAACTTTTTCAACTCGATACTTGCTTTTTGTTGAATCACCCGGCAATGTACCTCCAAACTCCGGTAGAAGTCCTATCAAATGATACAAACGAGAACCATGTAATGACTTAGATATGATGAGATCGGTTGGAGGGAGCTTTTTCTCATTGAGGCCTTTCAAATGGATGCTATGAGCACCTGGTTTATCTATCAAAACGACCTTACAACAACAAGTATTATAAAGGTCTCTTCTGAATTCAGCCACAGCCTTGCTTAATTCCCGAAAAGGTCCAGCATTAGTATCAATCACAATTAGTATGAAGTTGGGCACAGCTCTATAACTAATCCTCCTGTGAAGGGGTGGTATCTGGTCTGTCCCATCCAAGGCACTTAAAGGTAAATCCTTTGCTCTACTACTAGAGCTGTGCGATCCCGGTCTGCTCATACAGTCACTCCTCATGCTCACATCTGATCTTCCTGGAGAGCTGTACCGCGAAAAGTTCAGTTTATGTTTTGTCTTCTTAAAGGTATGAGGAAGTTGCTCCCATTGTTTTACTTTATGCCCAGGCTTTCCATGAATTTTTGTGAAGTTCTTTGCCGTTCATAACTTTGAATGAAGAGTATGACTTGGGACAACTCTGGCTTTGGGATAGGGCTAGGGGAGCAATGATTACTTGGCTCTGAGTGTTGATTCATATCACTGGATATGTAACCACCATTTGATTCAACATCACCTTCTCTTGCATAGCTACTGCTTGAGTTAATCCCACATGTAGTGGGGAAGGCATTGAAACTGAAGACAATTCCCTTTTCACCAATTTCCTTATCCACAATTCGTATCTCTCCACCCATTAGACGTACCTAGTGTGAAAATTTTCTGAATTAAAAATCCTTCAAATCATTTTGAAGTATTGACAATTAATTGATGAAAAAAATCTGAACAAATAATGAAATAAAAATCTAATAAATTCTTCACCAAAGTATAATACTTGCAAATAACAAGTAATTTTAATTAACATCCCTCGACATGAAATTTTTTTAAAAACAAAGACCAAGGGGCCAGGCTACCACATAAAAATCATTCAGGATTACTTTTATCTATAGAGAACAAATGCAACAAGATTGAGTACTATATAATTCACAGATTGAAGCAGGAAAAAAAAAAAAAAAAAAAACGAATAAAATTGGCATAACTTTTGCCGAAATTATTAGGACTAACTATTTACGTACCGAAGATAGAACAATACCAAGTCCTAAGCCAGTGCCTCCTTGTCGCAGAGCTGTCTCTTTGACCTGAACATAGTTTTCAAATACAGAATTTTGCTCCTCTTTTGGAATTCCTTTTCCTGTATCATCCACCTCGAATACAAATTCCATAGAGTTTGGGTTTTGTTGAATTGTGTTCATGGCTTCAAGGTCACTGTATGTTTCATCATTCTTGAAAAATAAGCATGATATGCAACTCAATGATCTGTTCCTATTGGAACCGAGTATAGAATTCTTGAAGCTAGGTTTCTTTGCCCAAGCTCGTACTGCTACATGTCCCTCGGGTAAATTTGATAGCATTTCTCACTAAGTTACACAATATCTGTTTCAATTTTCCTGTCTCCTTTAACGAGTGTATTTTTAGAAATGGAACCATCGCAAGGGTCAACACCACATCTACTCCTTTTTTCATACCTAAAGGATAATATAAGTCAACTACATCTTCGAGTAACTTGGCCAAATCAAATTCTTCTTCTTCAAGTTGCATCTTGCCAGCTTCGATTTTACTTGTATCAAGAATTGAATTCAATAAACCTGGATAAGCACATTATAGATTTCATAAGATTAATGATATAAATTTCTACGAGTGTACAACTATTATTACCAGTTGAAAATGTTATGAAGAAATAAAAAAACTAGTTAGTAAACATACCTAGAAGGTCCTTTATACAAACTTCCATTTGCATTAAATTTGTCTCAAATTCTGACCCTGGAGCAACTTCATCGCGACATATATCTATCAAATCAATAATTCCTGCTAGAGAGGTACGCACGTCGTGGCTTGCACTTGCAAATGCGAGACTCTTATTCATACTCTTTCTTTCTGCTTGTTGAGTTGATTCCATTTGTCTTCTGAGTCCAGAACATAAATGCATCTCCCTTCTAGCTGCTCTAACAATTAAGAACACAAAGGTGACAATGGATATAACCATAGTGCTGATCATTATAACAAGTAGCATGAATGCAAACTTGATATTCTTGTGAACAATGCTCTCTTGTTCCCTATGTGGTAAAGCCAAGGCATATACCTGAACCCTAGATAAGTTAGCATTAGTTTAAAAAATAACAAAGAATAGTACAATCATGTTTATAATCCATTTTACTTGCCCAAAAATAATAATAATAATAAATAACGTTCATAATGCAATTTCACTATATTTTGTGTAACCATAAGTTGAGTATGAACATATACGCATGGTCAATGGTTCTTTAGAAATGCTTTATATGTTATAGACACCTTTTGATTTAACTCAAGGGCATACCTAATATAAGCATAAACTAAGTCAACATTACAGATTCCAGATTACGATTGTTCACGAAGAAGGGAAGAAAATTCTAACAAGAGCGAGCCATCAATTGAAAGTATTCAAAATCATATCATGGATATACTATAGTTTTGCTTTATTCCTGATGATCACTACAAGAAATGTGGGCTTTTACGACATAGTATTTACGGAGCTTCTTTATTTTGCCTCGTGATTACCACCATTTATGGAGTTTTTAAAAGAATCCTCATAATTGTTACATGTTTTCACGAGGATTTAGTAGAATCTTCGTAGAAAATGTTTTTTACGGTGTATTAAAGAGGTCGTGAATATTTAGATATATTTACGGCATATTTGTACACTTTTCACGGGATAAATGTTGCTCGTTGATAAATATTACATTTAAGGCCTTTTTTTTTCCCGTAAATAAGCAATAGTACTTAAATTACTAATATTACTTTAAAAATATATATAGAAAAGAATAAAAAAACGAACTTAAGTTCTTTTACGGTGTATTATAGACGCCGTGAATAGATTTCACATCTAAGGCGTATTTTTTGCCCCGTAGATAAGCAATACTATTTTTAGCCTTCCCCTTGCGGGAAACTTAGCGCCAGATAAATTATTTTTTTAATTAAAAAATATTATTAAACATAATTAAGTTCTTTTACGGTGTAGTAAAGACGCCGTGAATAAATTTCACATTTAAGGTGCCTTTTTTGCCCCGTAGATAAGCAATATTTTCCAAATAAAATTTTCCCCGCTGGCGGAAAACTTGGCGCCAAATAGCAAAATAAATGAATTTTTTTTAATAGAAAACATAATTAAAAATTTGACAAAAACGACGTAGTTTTTGTCAATACCTTATATATCATGTCTAAGCCCTTTCTCTCTCTGCTCCCCTTCTTTCACGTTGAAGCTAGCCCTAACTTTCCCTCTATGCTCTCTCTCTTTAGACGAAAAAGATGCAGATGATGTTGTAGATTCCCAATTCGAGTTATCTCTCTGGTTCGCCTCTCTATTGGAGCAGTGAAAGTCCAATCGAAGCAAAGAAAGGCAAATCGAAGACCCCTAGAAAACCCAAGGAAAGTGTTATTAAATAGAGTTAGTCTGTTTCTCTCTCACTCACTCTCTCTCTCTCTGTATATAAATAATTATTTACATCTACATTTTTGCATTATTTATTTATTTGTATATATCGGTATTGCTTGAGATTTCTGTGTGTTAATTTGGGTTCGGGTGATTCATTTGTTTTTCTGCAGAATCACCAGCTGAGTTTTTTGCTGAGAGCAAGAACATTGTTGGGTTTGATAATGTGAGTTTCTTAGCCTCCTGTATAATTTCTGTAGGTTAGAATTTTAATGGTTTTGAGGCTTTTTTTTGGGATTTTTTGTGAACGGTAATTTTTATTTTATTTTATTTTTTTATTTTTATTTTTATTTTTTCAGTACTTGTATTAGTTTGTAGCTGAATAATTTTGATATGTACTATTTGTTGCATTAAATATATAATCTCTCATCTGTGATGATGGAAGCATGGTGTTAGTATTAGGAGAGTAATTAGCGAATTTATATCTAGTCCAGTGCCTCGATTGAATTAATTTGATTGGAAAAACTTTTTTATTGTAAATTTCTGAAATTCTTTTTTTTTTTTTTTTGGGGGGGGGGGGGAAGTTAGAAATTTTCCATTTATTTCTCTATGTGGGTGAAAACTAGATAAATATTCGCCTACTAAGAGAATTTGCAAATTTAAATTGTCTGAAGTTGGTTGTTAAATTCAGTGAATCAGGGGCAAAGTCAAATTCCGGATATCTGTATAGAAATCTGTTAGTGCAAGTTCGTAGCTGTTCTGTTTTCCTTCAATCGTCAATTTCTGCATTTTATTTTGCTTTCAGCCAGGGAAATCCCTCTACACTACTGTGAGAGAACTTGTTGAAAATGCTCTTGATTCAGCAGAATCCATATCTGAGCTTCCTGTAGTAGAAGTAACAATGTAAGTGCTTTTCATTTGTGCATATTCCTACTATGGATATCAGCATGACTTAGGTAGGCAAGCTTTAACATATGAGATAATCAAGCATGTCATTTAATACTTTAGTTTTACTATTTTCAATTCTTTGATGCTTTAGTGAAGAAATTGGAAGAAGCAAGTTTAATTCTATGATTGGTCTTGTTGATCGTGAACACGTTGATGAGGAACTTTATGATGATTTCGAGATAGCCAAGGCTCGTGAGGTGTGGGCCTTACACCTAAAATAGCCGAACAAGTATACCCACAGCTTCCCATTTTTAGGTGTTATCAAATCCACAATTTTTGTCTTAAAAGTTTTAAAAAATGTGGCAAATCAGTTTTAAAAAATCATCAACAAATGGCCTGAATAGATAAAAATATTTTTATCAGTTGGTCACAGGATTTGTTAGGGTGAAGAAAAAATTTACTGCCATGATAGATTTTGTGATGTATCCATTTATTGTACTCTGTACGCTGCTATACCCCAACCTTGACTGTACAATATATAGTATTGTGGCATTTAATTCGATGGATAGGATTTTCATTGATTGAGCTTTTATTGGTCCACATGATTGATATTAATTACATTTCACCATGGCTAAAGGAAGCAGAAGGGGTGTGTACATATTTAATCTCTTATGGATACTTGTATAAACTTTTACTTATTTCTGGAAGCTGTGTGAATATATCTATCATATATAGCGCACATATTTCTCATAAACCATGGATAATTTTGATCGACAAGAGTGATTCTGCAAGGACATTCATGGTAATCATCTAATTTATTAGCACCCTTTAGACTAGAGCCAATCACACCTTTACATAATTCCTTGAATTTTAACATTGATTTAATAATTCACATTTGTAAATTGTGGCTAGTAGCAGGTTACCTCTTTACTATGTAATCGTTTCACCATTCATCAACTGGCTGCTTGCCCTATTATATTGTCATCAAATATTTGTCCACAATATAGACATGTCACATGGATGAGACCAATAAGCTGAAGGCCCAACAAATTTTAAGAAGAGAGAAAAAATAAATAAAAATCAAACAGGTAGGATCGTATGATCCTCTGATTCAAATCGTAACTTGACAACCATGTATGTTACTGACTCTTACTAATGTAAAACGTGCTTCAATTTAATGCCCTACTTGTTGAGGATCTCTTAAAATCAAATCTTGTATATTTTTAGGTGCAATCACTGGAGCTATAACAACTCCTCTTGATGTCATAAAAACTAGATTAATGGTTCAGGTACAGATAATGGATCTTTTTTCTTACTTTTCTTTCTGTCTTAATCTTTTTCATAGAAGGGGAGTAATGCAAATTCTTTCTTCATTTCATCTTTTCAACCTTTGCAGGGGTCAGCAAACCAGTACAAAGGTATATTTGATTGTGTTCGGACTATCATTAGAGAAGAAGGGACTCCTGCTCTTCTAAAGGTATGCTCTTCCATGCTACGCCTTTTATCCCATAAGATGCAATTCAAAGTATAGTAATCATTCTTTGTGTTCTTTTCTCTCGTTGCTCTTTTCAATTTACATGATAGCATGGGAAACTATTAAGAAAAATGTCCTAATTTTGTTAAGATAGATAGCATTTCTAACTTACGGACAATGAGGGTCATATTTGAATAGGAATTGACTTAAATTAAAATTATATAAAACACTCTTAATCAAAAATCAAAACTAATAGATACATATACAGATTGAGATTGACGAACCTTGATTTTTTGCTCCAAATTGATGTGTATAGCCGTCTGAAATTCAAAGAAATTGTGGATGCAAAATAGGAACCCTAGTTTCTTCATAGAACGAACAAATACAAGCAATCTTCGATGCCTCCCTCAATGAATGGTCAAACTTTGCTTCAAATTAGAGCAAGGATTAGGGTTCTTTTATGGAGATCTTCGTTTCAAAAACTCATGTCTGACAACTTCAACAACTTGAATAAGTTAGCTTCAAATCAAATCTCATACATCTACACCATATCAAAATAATTTATGAAAATAACACCTAGAGCAACCCACACATCTGCACTTTCATACACACATATATGCGTACACGAAAAATAATATCTAAAAAGAAGGCAAAATACCCAAACTCTGCCACACATCTACAACACAAGATCTCATCCACCAACACCATACCAAAGTAAAATAAAACAAGATAATTAAGGACCAAAATCAATAAACTAAAATACGGTCAGTGTAGTGAGAGTTATTTCATTACCAACTTACTGTCACACCCCAAAACCATAGGGCATGATAATAAGGTTAAAACAAAAAAAAAATGGAACAACAGTTTTCAGCTTAAGAAAATTCTGCGCAGCGGTTCCTCAAAAAAACATAGAAAATTCAATTATTATCGAAATGAAGCAAACTAAATTTTTTTAGAAACTAGACTCAGATGACAATGTGACCGAGTCACTCCCGGATGCTAGAAAAACACCAAGGAAAACAGTTTTTGGAAGGAAGAAAGCTCTCACAGCTTGTGCTGAAATGGAACCAAGTGCAAAACTTTGGCCTGCTTAGTCTTTTAGAGAGCCAATAAAATTTTGGGGCCTTAACCTTTAGAAACTAGACACTTGAAATAATAAAACTGGAAACTTTCATAATTTATTGATTTCGGGAAGGCCGTCAAATTCTTTTCTCAAATTCAGTTTCCAAACTGTGACCAGAAACCAAACAGCAGATGATATCAGATTTTTTAAAATATATCCACCAAATCGAAAAATTATAAAAATTTTGTGAGAGACTTTATACACAAAGGGAAACATATGCTAAAAATTTCACAGCGTTTGAAGCACTACAACCTCTGATTAAAATTCGTTTCCAAGAAAGTACTAGAGGAAATTTAAAACAGATTTTTTTTTTTTCTTTAAATAAAACCCTCTAACAGAAAATTCAAAGCTTATTCCCATGAACAACTTATATAACACATAGGCATAACAAAGATCTAAAGAGGCTAAGAATATATATATTGCATAAAGTCATCTATAGAAAGATAATTTCAGTCCAAATTTGTACACCCCAAATAAAGAGTCATAGCTCTGATGCCCAGTCACTAAGTACATATGTTACCATTAGCAGGCTATACACAAAACATCTAGATACAGTACCCAGTCCTAAAGAACACATAGCAGAGAGCATGTTGTCATCTTCACTCTAGCACAGCAACCACGACCTTAACATGGTTTCGTAAGGCATCAAACATGAACAAAATAGTACTTCAGGCTAATATTTTACACAAAAACACTAAGCACAAGATGCTCCACAAAAGGATCCCATCTATGGGAACTCAATCTCGGGTCTAGCATTGCTGTCCTGAGCACCAAGACCTGAAAAATAACAAGGGTGAGACAATGCTTAGTAGGAAAGCCTTTAACAAATGCCTCCATGAGGTTTTAACTTTTAGGTACATGATCTGATTAAGCAGAATTATTTTGGCGTAAAATTGATAATATACATTAGTCTACCAACATGCTAAGTTCTGATTAGAAAACAATTTACCCATGTAGAGTTCTGAAATAAAATCATAAGCAATACTTGTATGTAACCAAAACTCAGATCATGACCAAGCATATATATAATATCTTAGCTAAAATCAAGCATTTGACTACAAGAAAATCATGTACTTGTAACAAGAAAAACTATAATTTCATGGAACATTAAATTGGGAAATAGAACTTTAAAAAAATGACTCTCAAGGCTGCAAGAGTTAAAGAGAATCCCTACCCAATTGAAGGTAACAACTGGAGGTGGTGAGATTAGATGGTGTGTGGGTAAAATGCCTGCATTTTTAGCCTTAGTCCGAACCCTTCTTCTTCTTCTTCACTTTCTGTTCTTCTTTCTCTCTGTCAGACAACCCACGGTTAGAAGTTTTCTTTTAGGTTTGGCATGCAACAACTATGAGGGAACTAGTTACAAGTGTAGTGCTAAATAATTAAACGTGTCTCCAAGTTTTGCATATGAATGACACCTAGTTCTGGATCCCGTACATGCTGCCACATGCAAACCTACTAAACCACATTCTATTAATATCTCAATACTCCCTCATTTCCAAAAGTAATCACTCAATGGCTCTACCCATTTTATTTATTTCTTTATTTCTTTATTTTTATTATTATTTGTTAACAACTAAATTCATCCCATGAGTAAAATAGAAAAATTAAATGAAACTCATGACTATAAATTAAATACTAGATCAAAAAATTATATACTAGACAATTAAGGAATTATAAATTGCCAACGAATCGTGCACAACCGATGCATTTAAATAAATTCCAAGCAATTAGGGATGTACTAATATTGAAATGCAACACATGAAATAGATAGAAAAAAATTTAATCAAAAATCATGTAATTCTGGTCCTAAACATAGGGAAGACTTAATTAAATTTAAGGTTGTCATACTTACTCTTTGAAAAGACTATTTTCTGCCTTTATTCACATTATCATGAATATAGTTAGATATTCTTCTTGCTAGAATTTTGACAATTTTTTTTTTTATCTTTTGTGATAGGTTAGTAGACAAAATAATTAAGCAAATAGTGATGGATAAAGAATGGATGCACATGACTTGCAGGTTATTATTTGTAGTGAAGTGTGCTTATAAAAGTTAATATTGTCTACACTAATTTTAAGTTTAATTAAATGTTAAAGCTTTAATTTTATAGAGTTGATCCAAAGTATTTAGAAGGAGCACGGAGGTTTGCTGATCAGGCGCAAGCGAATGCGGGCCATCCAGAAAAGATTTTATGCCCTTGTAATTGTTGTCTAAATGCAAAGCACCAACACTTCGACATGGTGTTTAGGCATTTATTGGAAAATGGAATGGATCAATCATACACGATCTGGTACTTTCACGGGGAAAATCTGAGTGAATCTCCCCAACATGGAAGTGATGTAAATGACGTTGCAATGTCGAGACGTATAAGATGTATAGAGATATTTTCTTTGATGGTGGTGGTGATGTTTCGGATCCAAACTATGAAATAAGAAAGGATGAGTTTAAAAAGAAGTTAGAATATGCTAAGACCCTTTTATTTCCAGAATGCACAAAGTGTACGGTTATGTCTGCAATTGTTGCCTTATACAAGCACAAAGCAACAACTAATTTATCCGACACTGGTTTTGATGGACTTCTTCAATTGTTTGGGGATATGCTTCCAGAAAATAACAAACTTCCTAAGAGCTATTATGAAACGAAAATTTTTTTGAAGACATTTGATTTAGGATATGAGAAAATAGATGCTTGTAAGAATGACTGTTGTCTGTTTAGAAAAGAGAATAAGCATATGACTAAATGCCCAAAATGTGGTGCTTCGCGGTGGAAAGAGAATGAGCGTACTAAGAAGGTTAAAAATGGTGTCTCAGCTAAGGTGTTGCGGTACTTTCCAATAGTACCAAGGTTTAGAAGAATGTTTCGATCCCCTGAAATAGCAAAACAACTAACGTGGCATTCAACTCATAGAAGTGGGGATAGAAAGATGCGACATTTAGTCATACGATCTAATTTTTTATGCATTTGTTTGCATTACATTTTTGAAATATTTTTTTCTGACAGGATTGATTATCACCAGTTCATTAGGAGCAGAAGAATCAGAATTTCTATGATTCCAGTCTACAACAAAGGTCAAATACTAAGCTTTTTTTATGATTGCACAATTTTAATACTTTTTATACTCATACTTAGGGGGTCACGTGCCTTTAAGTGACCAATATTGCGGTGTATCTTGAACTTTATTACCTTATTGGTACATCGGCCCATGTGGAGGCCATTAAATTTTATTTCTTGTTTTAAAATGTTGAAAGCATGGGAGTATGGGATCATCGTATGTGGAGGTTTTGATTGATTGTTGTGGATGAGAAGTTGTTGATGTCACGAGATTTTTCTTGGATCGATTACGTGTTCAATTTCATTAATTGATGATTTAAAAATATGATAAGAACTTCATTTATACCATCTTTCCACTCCATCCGAATTTGACAAAGCCAAATGCAAACACAAAGCCGCCAACAAACAACCACCATTGAGAATAGTAAGTTATGAGTCATCACTTTTAAGAGTCAAAAAGAGTCGGGTGTTGAATGAAGAAATCACAAAGGATAAAAATTATTGATGGGAAGGAGATTTCTTCAAAATTTTGGGCCCCCACAAAACAAACACAAATGCACCTTTCCTTTTCTATATAGAATGACAGCAATATGCATATATCAAAAGAGTTAAAACTAGGTCATGAAACATTTGATTTATTATTATATGTGAAGATATCCGTTATCATTTAATTCAGAAAAAAAATTATAAAAAAAATTATATATTGACATTTGATGAAAATAAGATGTACTTGTGATGAAAATATTAAAAGATCACTAACCATTGGTTTTTATATTTTGAACTATACCCAATGTTAAACCAGTAACTTCACAATCTAGCTTCAAAACAGACCTTTACTTGTTTCCCCCAACCTAGGTATCTTCAAAAACACTTGCTCAAAATAATAGCACAATGAAAGGGGCAAGATAAAACAGTTTCTCTTCACAAAGGCTTAAACCCCAAAATTGAGGTTAGACAAGTCTTTTCACAATGCAGTTTCTGTTCAGGTCTTCAATTAACTCCCATAGCCTTGTATCATCAAATTATACTTGCTTGATTGTTTAGAACACTTTACATAGCAAGTTACAGCAATAGGCACACACAAGCAGGCTTAATCCCACCAAAACCTAGCTTTTAAGCTTTTAAGGGCAACTTTGTGATTTAAGCTTAGGAACACCTCACAGTCCACTCCCCTAGTCTTTAATAGGCTAGATACACTTGCTTAGAACAATGATAGTATTATTTATTCCCCTAGTGTTCATGAATTTTAGATTTGCTCATAATCATGAGATAAAAAGACTACATATTATGATATTGTAGTGTTCATGAATATAAATGTTAATACCCCTTTCAAAGCCAAGTTAATCATTTTTCTGCTTAGAACAATGATAGTATTATTTATTGCCCATGCAAGATAAAATGCATGCTAAGAGTTCTAAAGCAACAATATATACATGATTGCTGATACCAGAAATGCAGCAATCTTGAGATTTCAGGATCTCTCTAGGAAAGCAATTAGATTGATGTACACATGAGAGAAAGAGATAAATTAACGATGCAAATTCAACAATTTTACAGTTATTCTTAATTCTAAATCAGTCATAGTCTACAGTCTGCATCTAAGCAGGGAATACCATTAACAAGAATATAAACATCCGGTACTCCCTTCAAACCCCCCAAAAGGGAGGGAGAGAGAGAGAGAGATTAACGGCATGAATCTGACCATTACACCATACCACTTCCCTTCCTCCACATGCACAAACGTTTCACTATATACCCTTGTATTTGGATAGGGTAAGGGTTATTACAAATGCTCATTATTGTGTCAAGTAGGGTGAGTCCCAAGTAAAGGACATAAAAAGCGGCTAAAACCGCCATAAAGAAGCCGGCAAAAGAGGAATGAATTGGGGTCTAATGGAGAGAAAGCTTAGATCTGTTTCTTCCCTCGAGGTTAGGCCAAATTATAGGCAATACCTTTAACGTTTTAGAAATTACAGATTCCTCCCTCAAAGTTGGCTCCGTTATAACAGATTTCAGCTTTGTGTTCTATTTTACAGAATTTACAGAGATAAGATAGAAGCCAAAAGAAGAAAGGAAGATAAATAATTTATGTTCTTTTGTTTGATACTTGAAAGAGAGAAATTGGAGAAATAAATAAATAAAAGAAGAATAAAGAAGGGAAAAAAATGGGAAGTAAGTGTGGAGGGTGGTTTAAAATTTTGCTTGCATTGTTGAGACTAATTGTGGATAGTGTGTATTTTATATAGAAGTTGATAAATTATTCACTGGTTGGAGAAGATCTTTAACCAATCCATTATAATTACACATATCCCCAGTCTCAAACTGGGTTAGGGTCATGGGGCTGGCAATTGTCATAACAACCTCATTAGCTTAGATGCAAGTCATGTGTGATGTGTCCATAGAAGGTCCACTTTCCTAAACCAAACTTCAACTTGTCAAGATGTTGGTGGGTTGGTTTGGTGGCTAAGAACTAGCCGCTGCATATATGCCATAAAAATGATGCGGGTCATTGTGGATAGTGTGTATTTTATATAGAAGTTGATAAAATATTCATTGGTAATTGTCATAACAACCTCATTAGCTTAGATGCAGGTCATGTGTGAAGTGTCCATAGAAGGGCCACTTTCCTAAACCAAACTCCAACTTGTTAAGATGTTGGTGGGTTGGTTTGGTGGCTAAGAACTAGCCGTTGCATATATGCCATAAAAATGATACAGGTCATCATCCTTCTTTCTCCAAGCAAATAGTGTGTGTGTGTGTGTATATATATATATATATATATATATATATATATATATATGAATATAGTATAGAATAAAAAATAAAATAAGAGGAGAGGTTTTGGAGCAACGAAGCCTTCTGAAGAATAACTGCAACAACCAAAATTGAAAGAGGGGTTTACCCAATCAATGTACCTACTATGTCACTAGACCTTTTTAATGTAAAAAGATTGAATCTTTGAAAAAAAATGAAAGTTCTGAGTTAAACATATTCGAGTTCCCTTTGACGTACCGTAGAGTGTTTTAATGAGAAAAAATTGAATCTTTGATTGAAAAGACCTCAATCAAGGTACCTGTTATATCACTAGACCTTTTCAATTCTAAAAGATTGAATCTTTGAAAGAAATTGAGAGTTTTGAATTAAACTTATTCGAGTTCCCTTTGACGTCCCAAAGAAGTCCACTCCCCTAGTCTTCAATAGGCTAGATACACTTGTTTAGGTATTAATAACCAATTAACAAGTAAGGTATATTCCAATGCAAGGTTACAACAGCATCTTCAATGTTAAAACACTGAATTTCAGTTTTAAAAAGAAAACATATATAAATTAAACTACCAACAAACTAAGATAATATATATATATATATATATATATATATATAGAGACTTGACTTGTATTCAAAGTTTTAGATTTGCTCATAATCGTTGCACTAAAAACCTACAATGTTTCCGATTTGTTTCAGAATGTTTCAGATTTGCTTATAATCATGAGATAAAGAGACTACGTATTATGATATTGTAGTGTTCATGAATATAAAGAGATTATGATATTGTCTATTCTCATACATCCTTGCAAAAATTTAGTATTCAATTAAGGAAAAGTATCTGCTTCAAATATAAAAGCAGATCTAAGGAAAAAATTCTTAGCAAAATGTTTGTGTTTGATTCATAAAATGATAATCTTGTTATTTCCTTTTTTATTAGCATTCTTAATTTAAGACTTGTGTGATACAGTTATTTTCTTGGATTTTGCAGCTATTTTCTTGGATTTTGCAGCTATTTTCTTGGATTTTGCAGTTACTTCCTTGGATTTTGTACAGTGAGCTGGTTTTTTGACAAGTGCAGACTGAAACTCAAGTGCTAGAAGGTTTATCAATTTTTCAACAGAAGTGTTAAGAAATTGATGATTTTCTTGACAAATGGATGTACTTTCTATTTTGGAACATTGATAAATGATGAATTGTAAAAATGTTTTAACTTTTTTGATATATTTAATGGGATATGTATGTTTTTTGAATTGAAATGAATTATAGCTGAAAGTGATGTGAATTATAGGTAGTAGATGATTAACAGGAATTAATTAAGGGTGAATTTATATATATATATATATATATATATATATATATATATTATTTACAGGGAGTTTGAAATATCGTAAATAAGTGAAAATCTTCCTTGAATAACTTTTCTACGGCATATATGGCAAGTCGTGAGAATGGTTTATATTATTTACGGGTACCTAAAATTTGCCTTAGAAAATTTTTCTATGACATGATTTAATGCCTCGTGAGATTATTTACGGGTAGTTAAAATTCGCCTTAGAAAATTTTTCTACGGCATGATTTTGTACCTCGTCAGATTATTTACGGGTTTTCTACGGCAGCCGTGGGTACCTCGTGAGATTATTTACGGGTAGTTATACTTCGCCGTAAAAAACTTTTCTACGACAGGCGATGGTGTCTCGTGAGTTTTCTACGGGTAGTTACAATTCGCCGTAGAAACCTTTTCTACCTCATGCCTTGGCACCTCGTAGGTTAATTAAATAAAATTTAATATATATAAACGAAATTATTTTCTACGGTGACTCTATAGTTTTTCTACGAGGTAGATTTTTTCTCGTAAAAAAAATTGAGTATTTACGGAACTCTCATACACGAGTGCCTAGAATGCACCGTGAATAGGTTTCCACGGCGTTTTTGGCACCTCGTAGAAGCCCTTTTTTCTTGTAGTGGATGTTTCTAACGCATGAAACATGTATATATGTATGTATGTATAATATTGATCACAGTTGTTTAAGTGACCTAATAATCAAGATAATTGTGTCTCAAGTTTGATTTCTAGACTCTTACTTTGAGGCTTTAAAAGTTTTCTAAAACAATGGACAATTAATAGAACAACAGAATATGTAGTCACTTATTCTGGAAAGAAGCATTACATTGCTTTATAACACATATTGAAGAAAAGTTTATCAAATAAAAGCGAATGCTACGAGGCACGTAAAATTTCATGTGAAAGCAAAACATGTACACAATATTCTACATAGAAAGAAACTCAGGAACATTACCAAGTATATTGTGATAAATACTAAGAGAAGAAATTCATTGTGATGAAAAGGACCATACCGATTGCAGCCCAAGAATTTCAATTAGTGAGCAGAAGAACATGTATTTTCTTTCCCAAATGTCCAACACAGAAGGTTTTAATGTCCCATTATAGGGTTCACATGTAACATTACCAATATGACCTATTTGATCACTATTTGGTTTCAATATCTGAAATGAAACTGAGTTACCAACAAGGACCATGTGAGTGTTTTGGATCTCATCAGTTAGTACTTTCCCATCTTTTGTGGCCAAATATAAGCTCCCACCATGAAGTTTTTTGCTAGAGAAGAAACCAACTAATGATTCAACCGGAAACCCTAAAGAGATAGCTCCTCTTCCATCCACACCAGCTGTCCTAAGGAATAGGAGATCTTTAGCACCATTCCACCCCGTTCTTATTGAAGAATACCCATTTGTACTATTTAAGGCTTCTTGAATCCAACTTACATTCATATTAAACCAGGGATGGGAGATAATAGCTTCTCCGAATGGCCTTCCAGTGTTATGATTTACAGGCTGAGTGTACCATGTGTACTTTGTTGTGGCATTTGGAGTAATTGGATAAACTGAAAATGAATTGTTTGAATACACAGCAAAAGATTGATTGGCTTTGGTGTAGTATGAGAAGAACAAGCCATCCAATCCAGTATATGAAATCTGTGACAATTGCGGAATAGTCAACAATGCTTGAAACAGTAGAGAGCCAGTTGCAATATCAAACTATTAATCATGAGTTGTCTTTTGACGTTTCCAATTTTCTACATTTTTCATTTTTCTGGTAATTCATTGATGCAAGGGTATTTCGCTCTTTTCACGTTTTGTGTATGAGTTTTTAGTTGGGTCCATTGCACTTTGTGCATTTTAATTTATGTGGATTAAGTGGTATTTATATGTAGTGCATTTATATGTGTGAGGTGTAAAATGAAAGAAAATGAAAAAGGAAAAGAAATTTAAAAGTGGTGGGACCTACCACTATATCAAGAGTGGTCTAGAGACCACATTTCCAACCTTCATTCTCTCTCCCCGCTGAATCTCTCTCTCACTCTCTTGTTGTACTTTTTCTTTTTCTTTTCTTTTTCAACCTTTGAATGAGGGTATCTCACTCAATACTTGGTGGATTGGAGTGCCGTTTTGTAATGACCCGGATTTTTTGGATAAATTTTTTTCCGTCGTCTTTTCCCTTCTGAGTTTGGTTTCTTGTCGATTAGTGTCGTCTCGAGTGCTCTGGAGTGATTTCTAAGACTCTTTTATGTGGATTCACAACTTCCTTTGAGGACCGAGTCGTTTCCACATTTTTCGTTTTTCGACACTATTCACTTTTCGTCATTTTCCCTATTTTGTCTTTTTCCCTATTTCGTCTTTTCCTCATTTGTCACTCTGTTTGCGTAACCACACTTCTTGTGTTCGGAGCTAGTTTCTAACTTCACGTATCTTCATTCTCAGTGATTTCTATGAGATACGTATCTTTACTTTCGTGAGAAAGTATTCTGGTTGCTCCCGGTGCCCATAGGGGCATAAATGCAAAGTTCTTTGGAAACTTTTTCTTTTCTTGGGGTGTTTTTCATAAATATCTTTTGAAGATATTTTGTTTCAGGGGTATCTAAGAAAATATCTTTTGGAAGATATTTTCATTATGGGGCAGTTTCGTAGTTTTCACTTTTTGGAGGGGCCATTGTGCAATTAATGAAAGTTATTACTCAATGCCTTGTTTGAAGCCTGGATTCTCGTATAGGATTTATTTTCACATTTCGTCGAGTCGTGGACTCTTAGAATTTCCTCCTAGACGATGTTTTCCAGTTTCTGGGTCTCTGGCCCCGGTTTGCGCCAAATTTGTTTTGGGCATAACTTTATGCTCGAGACTAGGTTTCAACGCCGTTTCTTCTGTTTTCCATATTTTCTCATTTGGAATTTTTTTCATTCACGGAGTTTTGCCGTTTGAGCGCGTCTGCTCAAATTTCACTTTTTCAGACCCGGTAAGGCCCGTTCGGGGCACTTTTTGAGTTTTTCTATAAATAGGAGGTCTTAGAAAGAAAAATCAGATTTTTCTCTCTCTCTCTCCTCTCTCATGGCCGGTCCAAGCTCCATCCATGGATGCCATCTTCTCTCTCCTCTTTTGGACTTCTTTCCTTCGTTAAAAAGTGGTGATGCCTTTGTGTTTATTGTTCCCCTCGGCGAGGCCTTCGATTCCAACCGAATGGAATCTCATTTTGGCCATTTCTTGAGTTCAGGTTTGAAGTCAAGTTGTGTTTTTGATGGGGCTTCCTTGGGATTTATGTTCGTGGTGTTGTCCCCGACAAAACCTAGGAATTTCGTCGGATTCGGAGCCGATTTGTTTTGGTGGGGATTTAAGATTTCATCTCAAATGGAGGTAGAGAATGTTTTAGGCTTTTGTGTGTGTTTTATTGAGTGTTTAGCATGATTATATAACTTATATATGTGCCTTGTATCAAATCTAGAAAGTTGGTAATTTTTAATTCTTTGTATAAGATTTAAAATTCATGATAATATATGACTTTGATTTGAATTGTGGCATGGTAGAAAATCTTGTTTTAACATGTTGGTTAACATATATTAATTTGGGATTAATTAAATAAGAATTGCTCTTTTTAATTAATATTTATCTTTTGTGAAAGATTTAAGTTCATGGCCGTACCTTGCATGAAATTGAGTGGTATTATGCTTCTAAATTAAGTTTTGGCATGTTTGTTAACATACTTTAATTTGAGAACATTTGGTTGAGTTTGGAAATCTAGAGACTTTAATTAAGAGAATTAATTAAAATCTATTTTGGTAGTTTCATGGGCCTAATTAAGCTTTTGTGTGAATATATGTAATGACCATGATATGTCTTTTATCATATATTAAATTGAGGCCATTTGGAAATGATTTGAAATCTAGAGAGTTTAATTATTTTGATGTAATTAAATCCTATCTTGTTTATTCATGGATCTAATCATATTTTAGAAGTTGTTTCTATTTTAAGAGCATGGATTTAGACTTGTGATGTATTCACTTGATTATGTTATATGCATTGAAGAGCATTATTGTTAAAGTTATATTCATGAGAGTACGTTTCTAATATGAATATATTGTTGGCTTGTGATTTCGTAGCATTATGGATATGAAATGCTTATTATACACAATTAAGAGTTATATTGCTAACTTGTTACTATGTAGTAGTAATATGTTTAAGTTATGAACTTATTTGGATTATTTTGGAATCTTGGGACATTGTTGTTACATGTGATATGGCTAAAGTTCGGCTTTAGTGCAGGAGGTATGAGTTCTCTCCAATTGAGATAGTGCGCACTTAGGGTGGTTTTCCCTGCGGGTTAGTGCCCGAAACAACCATTTTGTTCTCGGCGGAAATCCGAGACATGATGTCCAAGTCTTCCACTATTTGTTTTCGCATTCAATTCCAAGTTGACAATCATGTTTACCTTGTTGACTTGTGGTTTTGGCTATTGGCGATTTTGATGTTGTTAAGTACATCCATACTAAATTGATATATTTAGTTGATTTCACACTTTTAGATTTCTAGTTGATGACCTAGAGAATCTATGTCTTGATGTGGGGTATTAGATAGTCTAATTATGCTAAATTGTTATATTTAGTTGATGTTGCATTTTAGACTTCAAGTTGATAACCTTGAGAATCTATATGTTGTTGTTTTGTGTAAGCATGCGCCTATGTTGTTGCTTTGTGTAAGCATGTGCCTATATTGTTGCTTTGTGTAAGCATGCTCCTATGTTGTTGCTTTGTGTAAGCATGCTCCTATGTTGTTGCGTTGTGTAAGCATGACCCTATGGTGTTAAAATTGCATGAATGAGGTGATTGATGCTAGAAATGATCTTAGGTAGCTAGGATGCTCCCTGAGTCTCACCATTGACATAAACGTTAGGTGGAATGAACCACAATA